ACCACTGAGTTTTCCCTTCGATTTTTTTTAACACGTCACCCCCAAAATATACAAAATAAATTTAACAATAAATATGATAAAGTTTTAAGAATAAATCTCATTACTTCTGAAATAACAGTTGACGTAAATATCGATGTGTTATACTCTATCACTGGGCACGATTTCATGGACGTTAGATGGCGTTCGGTGGACGGAGGAGGTTCCAGGACCGTACTGTTGACAGGAGCGCCCTCTGTAGCAAGTTCTTTACCGTGGTCATCGGGGAATGGTATGCAGTGGTCGTTGAAGTAGGATGAGCTGTTCGGTGGAAAAAAAGAGAAAAATATATTTGTGGGTATACTAGTTTTTTGTTCTAGATATCTGGAAAAGATATTGTGGAAGTGCTGAAGATTCCTGAAGCTTTAACTTATTATGGTCATTTGTTTGTGTCCCGAATACTGTTGGGCAAGGATTTCTAGTTTTGCTTTTCGTTTTATTATTTCTTGTTTCGTTTATAAATTAAAGGATATGGCATAGCAAGTTTCAAATGGATTTCGAAAAATAAGTATGGTGAATAGTGGGTGAAAATTGAGCTACTTGTTTATGCACACACATACACTCACACGCTTTCTTTCTTTCTCTCTCTCTCTCTCTCTCTCTCTCACACACACACACACACACACACACATTCTCTCTCTCTCTCTCTTTCTCTTTCTCTTTCTCTTTCTCTTTCTCTTTCTCTCTCTCTCTCTCTCTCTCTCTCTCTCTCTCTCTCTCTCTCTCTCTCTCTCTCTCTCTCACTCTTTCTTTCTTTCTCTCTTTCTCTCTCTTTCTTTCCTTCTCTCTCTCTCTCTCTCTCTCTCTCTCTCTCTCTCTCTCTCTCTCTCTCTCTCTCTCTCTCTCTCTCTCTCTCTCTCTCTCTCTCTGTCTCCCCCCCCCCCCCCCTCTCTCTCTCTCTCTCTCTCTCTCTCTCTCTCTCTCTCTCTCTCTCTCTCTCTCTCTCTCTCTCTCTCTCTCTCTCTCTCCCTCCCTCTGTCTCCAGTAGGCCAAACCTTGCATTATACTTACCCGATTACTGGTGTTGCAGAAGCATTATCCAGGCGAGAGCAGCGAAAGGGCAGGGGAGCACTCAATAGCGGAGAACCCACAAGGTGAATGGGATATTGCATCGCCACTGCAAAAAGCGAAAAATTGTTGCAAGTGCAAGATCACGTTTTTTTTTTTTTTTGGGGGGGGGCAGGAGGAAGCTATTTGTTTTACTCTGTTTTTTTTCTGTCGTTCTTTCTTTTAGATAAATTTAAAGCATGTTCTGTTTGTCAATTGGTAAAGTAAAAAAAAGTCGTAATAATGGTTGTCAGATGTTTTGAAAGGCGGTAATAAACATAGCATTAAGTCCTTTTAAATGGACATGGCGACGAGTATATTTGTCTTCATAATCTACGCATACTAATGCCTTTGAGGTGAGAGTCTCAGAGGGACAATTGGCGACAATTCAGAAGCTCCTTGAAGACGATAACACACGTCTAGAAGATGCGGGAGAATTTGTCCACCTATTCCTCTTGTCTCCTTTTCTTTTCTACAAAGCCAGTGAACTGATTTTTCGACAGTGTGTTTTATCCATTGTCCGTTCTTTTTTTTTAAACTTTACGCAGCTAAAAACGTACGTAGACGTATCGGCAGAACGGAGTATCGATCACCTAGGCGAGTGAATACGTGAAGGAACCGGGCCGCCGTTGTCTACTTAAAACCGCGATCGAGTTTGGCGCCACCACCATGTCTGAAGATGGTCTCGCTTATGTCAACACCCGCATGAGACACCAGACAAACCTCTTTTTCTCGCTCTTTTCTTTTCCTCTCTCGTATCCTTCGGACCCGTTCTCTTTCTCTCTCCTTTATTGTAATCTTAAGGACGTTTGAGACAGATTTCGCCCCTTCCCTTTCCTTCCTGTCTCATCATATTCTGTGAAATCTTGATAATTGCTTTCGAGCAGAAAAGGGGAAACAACACTTAGTTTACATCTTACGGAGACAATAAGATGGCAAACTGACTAAACTTACCAAAAAAAATATTGTATGTAAAGTGTTTTTATTATTATTGTTGTTGTTATTATTTTCATTATTATTATTATTATTATTATTATCATTATTATTATTATTATCAGTAGTAGTAGTAGTAGTAGTAGTAGCAGTGGTAGTAGTAGTAGTGTAATTATTATCATTATCATTAATATTATTATTAGTTAAGTTATTATTATAATAATAATAATAATTATTATTATTATTGTTATTATTATTATTATTATTATCATTATTATTATTACTATTATTACAATTATTATTATTATCATTAATATATTATTACTGTTATTATAATCATTATTATTAGCCTTGTCATTATTGTTATCATAAAAAAATATTATTATTATTATTAATATTATCACTGCTGTTATTATCATCATTATTATTAGCCATGTCATTATTCTTATGATACTTATTATCATAATTACTACTTATTATTATC